TTGCAGGGTGAGTAACCTTCATACATGTGGAACCTGCCCTGCATCATCACACAGATTCTGCCATTCAAGAATCCAAACACCAGTTGACCGGCATGACCTGGCACTGTACTTCAGGGAATGTTTGGTTCTCACTATAGTCAAAGATCTGGGCATGAGTTAATTTATCACTCAGACTTCCTAATCCATAATCACAGATCACTGCCACTTGAGGTTGGTGCTTAGTGTGAGACAGAAGCCATTCTGCAGTGTTCAATAATCTTCATATATATATATCTGTTCTCCATGGCTCCACCAACGCCCTCTCAATGAAGCTTCTGTGCTCCAAACTGCTCAGCTGAGCTAAGCTGGGGACAGTCACCAGGTCTGGTTGGCACAGGGCCAGCTTATCTTCCATGACTATATTTAAAAATACACACTAAACATCTTTGAAGAGTCAACAGAAACCCAAAGTTAGGGTAGCCCTTAAGGGTATGCAGAAGGAGCAGTGGGAAGGGACCTGGAAGCCTAGGTCAAACAGTGGTGGGGGTGGAGTTCCCTAAAGTAGAGGTATCACCTAGGAAAGGGGTGGGGCTTCTAATACCAAGTCAGAGCTGGACCACAGACCTTGGGCTGAGAAGCCTGACTCTCAAGCTAGATGCGGAAGCTGTCTAGTTTTGAGCTTCTGGGAGGTAGTGTTCAGGTGAATGCAAGCCAGGAGCTAGAAGACAAGCCCTGAAAACCCCACAGAGTAAGATATGCCTGGCAGGCCAGAATTTTGGCTACAGAGGTCAGAGTTCATTTCCATGTGCTCTTTCCCTAAGTGGAGTTGAGTGGTTTCTGCCTGTTCCCAGTCGAGCTGGGGCACTGAGGGAATGATCTGGGGGGATGCTAAGTCTGACAAGAATGAGTTGCTGCTTAGGAAACAAGAGCAGAGGTCTACCCTGATCTGGTCCAACTCTAAGCACTTTACAAACATTACCTCATTTACTCCCCACAATAGCCCCAGGAGAGAACTGTTTCACAGAACTCTCTCTTGCATTCTTGTTCTTGTGGAAATAGGGGGTTGGAGGGCAGTGCTGTGTCATAAGGTCAGAAGCAAAACAAAAGGTGTTAGAGATTTTGCTTCCAATAATGACCAGAGAAATACAACTCAACACAGGAAGCTAACAGCCATAGAAACTTAAAGAGATCACAGGCCCTATCTGTGGGACAATTTTACAGATGAAATTGACATTTTATAGATGACAAAACTAAGGCATAGAGATGTTCAAGAGCCTCTCTCAAATCACAAAGTAGTGAGCAAAGGAGCTGGGCATGAACTCAGGAAGCTGGGTTGGCCCTACACGCCAGGGCCAACTAAACTCCCTGAATATGCAAATGCTCAGAAAAGGGGCTCCCACATTTTTTCAAGAGGGAAATAAGGCATTTGAGCTGGTATAGGTGTGAACTGTCACCCACAGAGCCTATCAAAGGACATGTAAAAATGTATGGTGGGATGAAGAGATCAGCAAGAGGGTGATTAAATATTCTACATGTTCACATATCACGCAATTGCCCTTTAAAGACTGAAAGATGGGCAAATTAGGTACAAGGTCAGTATAAATTAGTGTAAAGTCAAAATCATGTAATTATTTAAGTGTAAATCACAATTATTAAAGATTATCATCTCAATTCATGTAAGTACTTCATAACTAAGATTTCATTTAATAAAGTCTTTCATTTTTCCAATGCGCTGACGTTAATTTCTTAGAATTAGCAACGTCAAGTGTTTGCAAGTAGATATGTCAAGGGTGATATAGGGTACCTAACTATACATTATTCTCTTAAGTGGTTTAAACGTTTTCTCTGAAATCTTTATAATATTAATGTGCTAGTGATATCTTTAAAAAATTTGATAATACAATTAAATCTTAATTAGGTTCTTCTGAAGCACTGTATATTCTAAATAACACTTCCCCAAGAGGGAAAAGAGAATTATCTCTTTAGTTCTCATGGAAGTAGGGGGCTGGAGGGCAGTGTTGTGTCATAAGATCAGAAGAAGACCAAATGGTATTAGAGACTTTGCTTCCAATAGTGCCCAGAGAAATACAACTCAGCACAGGAAGTCATAGAAACTTAAAGAGATCACGGGACCTATCTGTGGGACAAAGACCATAGGCGGTGAGAATCAGAAGCAAAATAGGCAGCAAAATACGCAGCAGAGTATACTATCTCCCATCCTGAGAGTTTTCCAAGAAGTCTTGCTACAGATCATTCATGTCGAATTCTGTTTCTTAGAACAGGAAGCTGATCCCCAGACTGTGCTGATGTTATTTGTTTGGGAGGGGAGCAGGAACGAGAGTGAACAACTCATGGACTACCCTCCACCTCTGCTACTTTTTATGAGTATGGGGTGCCTGGAGCCACTGAGGAGTTGCTTTGGGGGTAGATATGACAGGTGGTGTGCAGTGTCCCTTCATGGGGACCTCAGGGAGAAGGAGTAAAATGAGGTGTTCCCAGGAAGGTCCATCCTCACCCTGTGTGAGAGCCAATTGCTTGGCCTGGTGGCCAGGCTCTCACCCACCACTTCTTCCTATGCCCAATGCTCTAGAGACCGACTGCATGCTACTGGGTGCACACCTAGGTGCACACCCATAGCCGTTAGGATGTTGGTGTGGTTAGACCCATTTTACTGATGAGAAAGGAGAACTTAAGGAATTTGTCACAGAACACACATAGAGCAGACAGATCTCAGATCCAAGCCATGTGTTTGCAGTGTCCACAGCTTCCACCCTCACCCCTCCATGTCACTCTCGTTCCTGGGCCAGGGTTCCTGGGGGCAGCACATTCTTTGCTTCCCTGTCCCCAGGGCCCCTGTCCTAGTGTGAGGCTCATCACTCACTGTGGACTTTGGTTTTGTTGATTAATTTTGTTTAATAACAGAATCAGAAGGGGATGTGAAGGACAATTTAGATTAGACCTCAGGGCCCACAGATTCTCTCCTGATGTTAACGGGCATAGTTTTTTGGAAAAAATACTGACATCTGAATCAATACCTTCTGCTGAGCTCTTGGGCTCTTTCTAGGAGCAATCCGAGACCACTCTCATAGACTCATGAGTGAGAACCATACGCTTGGGCCGATTAAATGGGAAAGAACAGAAGCTGCACATTCACCTTTACCAATAAAGGATTTATGGCCTAAGTGAAAATGTGCCCACCTTGGTAGGATCCTTATGCCTCTGACTTGGAGGATCTCTGCCAATCCTCTAACATGGCATCAGCTCTGGGGTTCCAGTACCAGAGACACCACTGTCCTGATATGGCCCGCTCCACCAGGAACACATCTGTCCTGATGTGACTCACTCCACCAGGGTCACATCTGTCTCGATACAACCCATTCTACCAGGGACACATATCACCCACCCCACCAGGGACACAGCTGTCCCATTACAGCCCACTCCACCAGGGAAATCATTGTCCCGATATGGCCCACTCCACCAGGGACACTGCTGTACCAATACAGCCCACTCTACCAGGGACATGGCTGTCTTAGTACAGCCCACTCTACCATGGACATCACTGTCCCGATATGGCCCACTCCACCAGGGACACTGTTGTCCTGGTATGACTCACTTCCCCAGGACACACATGTCACAATACAGCCCATTTCCCTGGGGAAACCACTGTCCCAACACAGACTAACCTATAGAGATACTGCTGGTCTCATAGAGTCCATTCCATTTCACACATCTTGAATATAACTCAAGTCTTACCGAGGCAGAGCTAAAGAGTCCTCCCTTCAACCCTCAGCTCTTGATTGTGGTTCTGTTCCCTGGTGTCACGTCAAGTCCTCTCTGGGGCATGGCTCTCCCTATTGAGAGGTCTTGCAAACATCTGCCTGATGCTTCTGTTTTTAGGACGAGCAGCAGTTGAAGTCAAAGCATCCCCTCACAATACCTCACCACTCAGGTAAGGAAGCCATGTGTGACTGACTGCTTTAACACATTTCTGTTCAGAACCAATTAGAACCTTCAGATAACATGGAAATTGTGTTTAGTAAGAAAAAGCTATGCCCCCTCAGACCTCATTTCCAAGTACTGCTCCATTAGGAAGGGCACTCTGGGACTTTCCACAATACCCTGCAGGTTGTGGGCTCTGCCTGCTTCATTTGAGGTGAGGGCACCACTTACCCTCAGTGCATGCTGTAACTCCTGTCCTCACTGCCTCTCTCGGGGTAGAGGGCAGAGGCTGTTGCCCTCCCCAGCCCTTCTTGCCAGCCCACTGTACTGCCCAAGTCACTTTGATCCATGTCCAAGCCACTGCTGGCTTAAACCATCATCCTTGAGAAAGTCCAAGAGCATCCTGACTTGTCAGACTCTTCTGCAGCTGCCCTCTCCCTGCTTCTGGAACAAGCCAGGTAAATCTATTCACACCTGAACACACTTCTCCCTCCGGTTTATAACAGAACTGCACATAATCCTGGGCCTACCTGGGATGTTCCCTGCAGGACCCAGAGGAGTTCTTTCTCATAAAGGTTTCTCCCCCACTCTGGGGACAGGGACAGCTTTGCTACCTAGGTCCTGCCCAGAGCTGACCCTGAGGGCCACATACTCACTCACTCACTGATAGTACCTGATGACTTGACATACATCATCAAGAACAGCTTAATCCCAGGGAGCTGCTCTGTGAGAGGCATGTCCTTTATGAACAGCCAGGCATAATTCCAAATTCTTGATATGGCTAAACTGAGGGGATGCTTTCCAGGATGGCACACCAAAAGAAAACTAAGCTATGTTTCAAAATGAGTATGAGTTTTAAAAAGTTGGTGTACATATGGGAGAGGTTCCTTTCTCTTGGTATAAATCATAAAGGAACGCTTAGGGATAACATTCCAAAATGATGCTCTAATGGAAGAAATATTTATAAAAATCTGCAGATAATTCCTTCCCTAAGTAACTGACTATTGTGTGGCTCAGCATGGTCACAGCATGGGAAAAAATCTGTGGGGGCCTCTGGGGCAGCAGTGAACCTCGGCACTAACCTGTCTTCCTAAGAGGGAAGTCATCTTTGGCGTCGTACATTCCCAGGACTGGGTGGTTGTAAGAGGCCGACACTCCACTCTGGGGAGGAGAACTCTGGTCAAGGGAACTGTGCTGTGTTTTCCTGGAAAAAAGGCAAAGACAGGTGGTTTAGTTTGACTCAGAGGATTGCCTTGCACATGCTGTGGCCAAGATGCTGCACATGAGGATACACCTTCCTTTAAAATCTCAGCCCAACCTCAACTGTCAGCCTCCTCCACAGACTCGCCTCTACCCTCGGGTCAAGCTGATATTAAACAGAAACAAACAAATGCTAAACAAGCAAGCAAACAAAAGAACCCCATGTCCTCTACCATCTGACTGGCAGTGCTAGGAACTGGGCCAGGTAGCATCTCTGGGAGTTGGTGTCAGTGGTGCATTCCCCATATGGGCCAATGCCTCTTAGGTGGCTCCTGCCTAGTCTCTGACTACCAGGACAGCCACACAGAAAGCCTGTCCTCAGGATGTAGGGGCAGATGATGGCATGTGAGCTGTGGTGTAAAGAATCAAAGTTGAAGTCGTAGGCAGCGGAGATGGGGCAGGGAGCAGTCTGGGAAGAGATGCTGGTCATATATGGGGCTCTCTCTGACTCCTGGGAAGCAAGATCTTATGGGGACTTCTCTCTGGAGAAAGCATCCATCTTCAGCCATGGCTTTACCAGAACCCAAATTACTTTGGTCGCTTCCTTTTCCTGGGGGAGGGATAGGCTGTAGCAACTGACACCCTCTACCCTGGGAGCTACTCATGAAAAGCACTTTGTTCATGACCAGCCAGAAGGACTCCAAATCCTCGACATGATGGGAGAGGGTTGCCAGTAGATGCTCAGAGGGAAGACAAGGGGCAGGGGTCCTCAGAACGGTGGGGGATGCTGGCTGGCACTCAAGGTGACCATCAGCAAGGCCTTCCTGCCAGTCAAGTCTTGCTGAAAATACCAAAACAAGTGTAATAAATTCTGTGAGTCTTTAAACTGTATAATCTGCTTAATGACTAGAAACAAATTTGCCAACTTACCTATTTGGAATTTGTTAGACTATTTATTTGAATATACAGCACCCCACATCAATGCACCTGGAGTTACCTGAATTAAGAATGGGAGCTCCTAAGTGTGTACAGGTGTGTATTTAAATGCTTGAGAGCACACAAGTGCAAAGATCATGCTGACAAGATGTCAGGGAAAAATCTACCAAGCCAGGGTTGATGTTTAGGTTTTGGGGTCAAAGCTCAGAGTGCTCTAGAAAAGTGCCCTGCTGCAGGTCACACCCCCTGCACCCACTGCCCAGGGCACACTTCCATCCCGAGGCCCTTTCTCCTGTTTCCTGAGAGATTCTGCCATGCAGCAGGCTGGGTGTGAAAACGTCTACACCTGTGCAATGGCTGTGGCCTCCTCATAGGCTCATGTCCTAGGACAAGAAGCTGTCCTTTCCTGCAGTTATGCTAGGACAATCCTAGGTCACTCTCGGAGTCCATCTGCTCACAATCTCCTGAAAGAGGTCTGAGGGCAATGCTATTTCTCCACCAAAAGTGCATTTTCAGGTTGTATCCTATAGGGAACGCAGGTTTGGCCTCTAGTAGACTTCCTCAACACCAAGTTACATTGTGGGGCCATTTCTGTATTCATTCTTCCTTCATAAGAAACATGGAATGACCTGCGTGTGCATCATGTGAGTTAAAAAGATAATTATGTATATAATAATAAATAAATAATTTAAATAAATATGTAAATATAATAGCAATTATTATGATTATACTTTAATGGTAGGGTTTGCTTATAGTTAAGCCAGGAGATGGAAAAGCTTATTCACTTAAGATAGTTGTGATTTCTTGAGGCGCTATCAGTATTAAAACCCTCATGTTCTTGTTAAGCTGTGATATAGGCAAAGTAGGAGGTGCTTGCCTGGGCCCAGCCCTGCACTGGCTCTGCCCAGTTTCCTCAACCTTCAGCATTCTCTGGAGAGTGCTGGGAGGCAGAAGCACACAGCTGTGCCAGCCCTACAGGACCATCTCAGATGGATCCAGAGACTTCAAGAGGGTGACCTCCCTTCATGCACAATCTACTTGGTGCCAGGAGCGCACAGAGAGGAGAACCCGCCTCACTGTGCACTTGCCGCCTCCAGAAGTCAGGGAAGAGCAGTGGTTTAAGGGAGAATGCAGGTCACATGTGCCCAGCCCTGGTCACACTACCCCTAGGGCTGAAAGGTGTGTTGTGCTCTCAGTGAAGAAGCATCCAAAAAGGAAGTAAAAGTGAAACCCTATCCCTGCTGTGCTCACACTCACACTCCATACCTCACACACCTACTCACACCCAGTCACATTCACATTTCACATTCATCTCATACACACTCACACCCTCAGCCCACACTCACCTCACCCACACCTCATACCCACTCACACCCACATCCCACATTCACACCTCTCACACACACACTTCACACCCACTCACACAACCTGCTCACCCCCACAGCTCACTCCCGTACTCACATCTGCTTACACCCATTCATGCCAGTTACATCCCTAGACTTGAGGGCATAACCTGCAAAGCTGCTCCTTCTCTCTAACTCACCCCTGACCAGGAATTATCTTCCATTTTTTTCAACCTCTGATCACCAGCTCAGGGATAGGGAAAAGCAACGAGGGCAGGTCACTGCTGTGCAAGATCTTGGCTGAGTCTCAGCGGCCAACCCAGGCAGTGTATCTCAAGGCAATCCTTGCCTTACTGATGAAGACAGAAAAACAAGTATTGTTTTATTTCTAAACATTGCCTTGATCAGGGGTCCCCAACCCCTGGGCCGTGGATCGGTACCAGTCCATGACCTGTTAGGAACCAGGCTAAACAGCAGTTGGTGAGTGGCAGGAGAGCAGAGTTCTGCATCCTGTCAGATCAGCGGTGGCCTTGCAGTCTCATGGGAATGTGAATCCTACTGTGAACTGCACATGTGATCTAGGCTGCACACTCCTTATGAGAATCTAATGCCTGATGATCACTCCCCACACCAATCTGTAGAAAAACTGTCTTCCACAAAACCAGTCCCTGATGCTAAAAAGGTTGGTAACTGCTGACCTTGATTCAGCCACTTAAATTCTAAACAACTGGCCTTCCCCATGACATTAGATGTATACCAGTGATTTAGAATAATTATTAATTGAATATATGGCACATTCCAACAGAAGTAGGATGGGGGTGACATGTGTAATTAAAATTTTTCTAGTAGCTACATTAAAATTAATTTTAAAGATGAGTAGAATTAATTTTACTATCTTATATAACCCAATATTATCACTACAACATGTAACAATACAAACTTATGAATGAAATATCTTGTATTCTTTTTTTCTTTTTAGAGACAAGGACATGCTCTGTCAGTTGCAATCACAGCTCACGGCAACCTGAAACCTCTGGGCTGAAGTGATCCTCCTACCTCAGCCTCCTAAGTGGCTAGGACTATAGATGCGTGCCACTATTCCCAGGTAAAAAAATTTTTTTTGTAAAGACAGGGTTTTATTATACTGCCTGGGCTGACTGCATTCTTTTTTTCCATACTGAGTGTCTGTAATCCAGTGTCTTGTCTTTGCGGCATGTCCTAGTTTGGCCCTGTCACATTACCAGTGCTCAGGAGCCTCATGTGGCCCGTGGCAGCCATGATCGATAGCACAGTCTCACATGACCTTAAAGCTAGAAGCCCCACGAAACCATCTGAACCATTATCCAAACTAATATCTTTTGCTACTTCTGCCTGGAAATGCCTACCCTCCAACCAGAGGGACACAGAGCTTCTCCCTAAGCCTGGGTGGCTGACTGTCCCTGGCAGGGAAACTGCAGATTGGCACCCCCAGAATGGGCTCCAAGCATGCTGGCCACAGCCATGTCTCATGAGCCTTCCTTCTCTCTTGGGTCACACTGTGGCTCACTGCTGTCAGGTGCTGCTTTCCATAGACAGCTACATTCTCACTCTTCTTTGTGAATTTTTGTGTCACTGGCATGTTAGGTGTGAACACAACTTATGTGCACTTGCAACATGCAGCGGCCACCAGAGCTGAAGAGGCATGAATTGCCTCCTCACAAAATGCCTTTTAGATTGTGTTGTGGTAACTGACATCATTTGGCAAAACAAGTGGGATTTGGTGGTTTTAGTATAAATACTTGTCCATTTTGAAGCTTGAGAAGAGTTCATTTTTCTCCCGATGAAATTACTAATTACATTTTGATTTATGAAAACTACTCTATGTGGGGTTTTTTTTTTAGAGATAAGAACTCACTCTGTCACCCAGGCTGGTATGCAGCCGCAAGATCACAGCTCACTGTAACCTCGAGCTCCTGGGCTCAAGTAATCCCCTTGCCTCAGCCTTTCGAGTGCCTGGAACTACAGGCACACACTGCTATCTATGCCCAGCTGTTATATGCTTTTCTAGAAATGAAATGATCCTTGAAAGCAGTAGAGAACTATTTCAAAGCAAAAATCTGCTGCACTTGAGAACTGTTTAAAGCCCCATAACTCTGCCCCTCTGGTCCACTCTAGTCCTCTGAGGCTCGGCTTCTGAAGGCTTCTTTCTGCATTGGCACATCAGTTTCCCTTAGTTCTTAGAGTGAATGAGGCTCTTTTGTGGCCTCCGTCAATAATAAGGGCTCTGGCAGGGGTTCTTAGTATAAAAATAATAAAGTACCATAGGTACTTATTGACTTGCCTAAGAATCAATAAAACATTGGATAAAAACTTTGTAGGTGCCCAAAGACAATTTAGATTCACAATTTAGACTTGGGTTCCAGTTAAGTGACTCCTATTGTGGCTGAAAAATAACGACAGCCACCAGCCCCAAGAGCATCACTCAGTCCCTCTGAAGGCAAACCTACTCCCCTGGGGACAGCCACTGCTCCCCTGTAGATGGCTGCCACATGTGTGGACTCCAGGCTGCTGCACTCACACCCATGCTCATGACTGTGCTTGGGGGACTCCGTTTCTCACCCTTCCACCTTGCCTCAGAAGGTGAAGGTGAAGGGCTGGGTCTATTCAAATCTACCCTCGGATCACGTGGTCCTCTGGGCCCCCAGACAGGAGGCCAGGTGTCCCCACATCCCTACTTACCCGTACCAGTAGCGAGGGTCACTGGAAATGCAGTGGTTCAGGTTCCGGTGGGCCAGGGCCTTCTTTTTATTGAGGACAAACTCTTGTAACTTCATCTTCACTTCTGTGCTGGCCACAGCACCTGGCATGGGAGAAAGCACAGTGGAGGGTGACATGTGACTCTGCCGACAGCACCAAGGCAGGGCAATGGAGACACACAGGGAAAAAAGGGATCAGAACCGCAACTCTCCCTCAAGACCCAGTGGCCACAGTGACTGCCTCCTCAAAGAAAGAAGGCCAGGAGGAGTTGTAATAAGTCTTCTTACCATCGAGATTTTTACATAATTGCATTCTATTTAAAATGTAGATTTAATCATTGGAAAGACTTACTGTTAGCTAACACAAAACCCACTTCTGAAGGAAGTTCTAATATTCTTACATAAAAGAACATTCTGAATTAAGCGCTGGCAGCGTGGTGGTTTCATTCTTGCTACTGCACAGAAGCAGATTCTAAGCCAGAAGGTTTTGTGCACACAGAAGAATCACATATGGAGTCCATGGTAAAGGGACAAAGCTGCCTCCTGGGCAGACGCGCATCCACACCTGAGCCAGAGATAGTCGGGTTTCTTCTAGGAGTATCAGGGGAGCTCTGTCCTCTTCTGACAGCTTGGTGCTCAGGCACACTAAGGTGGACTAAAGTCAAAGTGTGTGTTTTGTGGTTTTCTTGTGATGTTGGTGATTGTTTCCAAGCCCATTAAAGAAAACTGGCAAATTTGAGAAACAGACAAAAAACAACAATAACAAAAAGTCCAATATCAACACCTGAATGTGAGGCCTGTTAGCATTAAGTGATTCTCCTCAGAACTATAATTAGACTACATTGTCTTTTTATATCCTCCTTCCCCTTGGGAATATTTTAAGGTTATCCCCTGGTATTGCACAGTATTCAAATAATACTTTTAATGGTCCAAAGAACACCTTATGGAGTGAGTGAAGCAGAGTTTACCAAACCATTTTTTAATGGGGGCATTTTTTGTTGTTAGAAACCATGTTCCAACGAACATTTATGAGTAGATAACATCGACCAAGTTTAGAATTATGTGCTCAGGAAAGTTTAGCAAAATGACTCTACCTCACGAACTTTATATAATAACCCTTGACACATCTTGCTAAATTCCTGTCCAAAGTCTCTGCACTGTGACCACCTTGTACCAGTCATCCACTTGTACTAGGGGTGCCCTTCCTGCAGTGCTTAAGCCACCACTTGCCAAAACTCAGGAGCCCAGCAGGCATCCCTGAGAACTACTGGGCATACAATTATTTTTCTCTCTTGTAATATTATTTTATATCCTTGGCTTATTGCTTTTTTGGGAGCCTTTCTGTGACGTGCTGTAGATCTGTGTATGTGTCACAGTTGTATCCATTAGAGTTGCACAGGTTTTCTTATAATGATAAACTTTCTGAGAACCTACTTTACGCTAGTCTTGGCATGCTTAAACTCCACATTAAAGCTACAGGCACTTTTATCCTCTAGCTGTCAATAAAGAACACAAGTGGTAGGTAAATCTGGCTGGTTCAGCTGCCAGGTCTCAGCAACGTTCTGGGCTCTCTATTCTATGTGAATGCAAACATTTGCCCTTGTCTCTTGCTTCCTTTTGAAATATGGATATTCTGATGTTCAGATGTTTGTTTCTATGAAATTCAGTTTAGTTTTTCCTTTGCAATTTTTCCCATTTCCTTGACATTTGCAGTCAGTCTTTTCAAGAGCTTAGTAATAATCATTTTATCCTTGTTGTTCTGGTGTTCGGTTTTTATTCATTCAGTTATTTGCTAGTATTATTTTTTCATGATTCACTCTGATGTGCTAGAAATGGATTATTATATATATGGATCTATGGATATTTTGATAAATTGCTAATAAATCATTAATATAATTAGAGAAATATCTTTTCCTTGCCACTTTTATTGCAGATCAAATGTATTATCATTCACAAATGCTTTTTTTGTTCATATTTCTGAGTTCTGTAGGGCAGAACCTTACTGAAATCATGTCAAGGTGGAACTTCTGGGTCTGTGGTCAAGGGTCAGCCAGTGACAAATCCCTGTGGTGGGACCTGAACTAGACCAACCAGAAAAACACACAAAGAAAGTTAGCTAACTACCACACCATCAGTGTGAGTTTGGGAGGGTCCACCATGACACATCAGGCTTTGGTCTTGAGGCTCCCTCAGGGTCTGAAAAAACAACCTCATTGCTCATAAGAGAAGCTGTCATGAAGTCCCCAAGCTCATGCAGTTGAAGACAGTCTGCATCACAAGTTGTATCTGTGATGAGTGCTTCCCTGGGGGGGTGGGGGGGTGGCAATGGGAGTGGTGGGAGGGATTCCTTCTTCCTAGACCCAGCATTAGACTGGAACGTTATTTACAAGCACTTATAGCCTAATTGTCTTTCTGTAAGTGGACTTGTCAGAAGATCATACACTTATGGACGCAATCTGCTTCTAACATCCCAGACACGCCATCACTAGTATTCCTAAAAGACTATCTGCAACAGGCTACTAAGTTTGAAAAAATAGACCCAAGACATAAATCAATCAAAGGGTCACTTTATAAATATACGGAGTGCCTTCCCAACCAGTAATAACAGAAAAGGCTGGGTGACGGGGAGACGAGAGAGTAAAAGACAGATGAGCAATTTCAAAAGGAGAAAGGCACATCTGCCAGTAAGAATATAACATAAGTTTAACTCCACTGATAAAAGAAACAAAAAAGGGAATGGGTAGCTTTAATTTTTTTTTCACTTTTACACTAATGAAGCTTTGCTTTGTTTTGTTGTCTAATGGTACCACCCATGATGCTGATGGTGCAGGGAAGTGGTCAAACTGCACAATGATGATGGTGATGGTGACAATGAGGACTGGTAATGATGACTTAGATGGCCAGTCAGAGAGAATGACCCTTAAGTTCCTTTCACACTGCTGTTCTTGAGTGGAGGAGGAAAGGTAGGACAAGAAGCAGTTCTCAGAGTACAGAAAGAGGCCTCTCAAGATCTTCCAGGTTGGATGTGGTGGCTCATGCCTATAGTCACAGCACTTTGGGAGGCAGAGGTGAGAGAACTGCCCGAGTCCAAGGGTTTCAGACCAGCCTGGGCAATTTGGTGAGACCTCGTCTCTACAATAAATCAAAAAGTTAGTCAGGTGCAGTGGTGTGTGCCTGTATTCTAGCTATTTAAAAGGCTGAGGTGGAAGGATCGCCTGAGCCCAGCAGGTCAAGGCTGTGGGCGTGCCACTGCACTTCAGCCTGGGCAACAAAATGGGAATCTGACTCCAACAAATAAATAAATAAATAAATATTTTCCAGCCAACCAAAGCTAGGTGTCAGGTAGCCTTACTTCCTCAAAAAAAAAAAAAAAAAAAAGGATCCAGAAACACAATGACAGCCATGACCATTTACTTTTCCTCCTAGGTGTCCTGCAGCTGGTCTAGGGACAGAGCCAGCAGACATATGCTTACAAAGCCTCTGTGACCACACCCTCTGCCTGCTTCTATAACCAACCAGAGGCAAATGGTGACATGGTCACAAGCCAGGACCCTGCATGGCTCCCTTACGGCCACCATCACTGGGGGCACCTGGCTGGTGATTCACAGGCTGCCTCCACACAGAGAAGGTACAGGAGCCGAATTCATGTTCTATACCTCAGCGCAGGCCTGGCCAGAAGTAAATGCCAGGAACATAAGCTGAGGATTTGTGACTTTTTAAAGCACAAAGCAATCTTCTTTGTTTTTTGGACTTCAGGAGAGAATTCAGAATGAGAGAGGCTAATTCTAATCCCTACTGTTTTCCTACTTCTGGTTATATATTCATCAACAGGTTGCTCCACTTACATAAAAATTCTAGAATCAAAAACACATTCAATAAATGAAGCGCAAAACTCTAATTTTTTACTTTTTAAAAATTTAATTCACAGTCAGTATCATTTGTCCACCAAACAGAGATTTTTATAGAGATCTCATCCACCAGCCTATTCTGGTGGATGGAGATACAGGTGAATAAATAAGACAAAGCTCCTCAAATACCAAGGGATGGGGGAGAGGGGGGGTGAGGAAAGAAGTGAGGGAAGGGCAGTGGGGGAGAGAGAGGGCGGGGGATAAAGAAAGGAGAGAAGGGGAGAGAAAGGGAGAGGGAGAGAGGGAGAGAAGGAGGGGAGAGAGGGAGAGGGCGAGGGAAAGAGGGAGAGGGAGGGAAAGGGAAAGAGGGAGAGAGGGAGGGAGGGTGAGTGGTGGGGGGAGGAAGAGAGAGAGCCACTGAGAGAGAGAGACACATCTTCAATAAGCAAATGAGTAGAAGCCTAGCAGGGAAGAGAGAGGAAGATAAGCAAATCTGGGTAGGAGCGCACAGACCAGGAAGCCAAAGGCCATGGGTGCTTCCACCTGTGCTGGCCTGCTCCCACAGGCCAAGGAGTGCCATGGGCCCCTGGGCACAGTGGCAACTGATGACAGATCTGTTGCAGATTTTCAGTTTGGCTTTTGCCTGAGATTACTCCTTTTTCTCCTGTCCCACTTGCCTCTGAGGAAGGCGCAACTTCACAAATGGGAGGAATGATTACTTTCAGAATCAGGTGTCCAATCTTAAAACGCCAGCCTTCTGTGTCATTTTTACACAAAGTGAAGGACTTTCCTTGAGTGACTGCACCTCATTCCCCACAGGGCTATGTTGTAAATAACAGTGAAAGAAAATGTGGTTGCACTGTCCTGCCTTGCTCTGGGACAGCCTGGCCTGCTCACGCATCTTTCCCTTTGAATTTATGCTAAAAAACATGTATTTTAGATTCCCAGATGTATTTATTCCTAAAGTAAAACCTGGCTGGCTAAAGAGTATGTTCGTGACAAACGTGACGAAAACTGCCACAAATTCTAAGAATTCACTGTTCTATCAAATTATCAGCATTAGTTGTATCAATAAATAAAGGTGCAAAATTACTTAAAATTAAAAGTACTGTAAATGTTTACAAGTGGAAAAAAACTTTTTATTGAATACCCCACAAGAAATTCATTTTTTAAAAAACTCCAAGAGACTCAACAACAGATACTCTGCACTATGTTTTCAAATACTCAAGTGCTGGGGACGCTTTGTGTCA